TGTTACAACAGATCAACAGATTATTTTCTCCATGGCAGAATAAACTAAATTGTCACAAAACACAAATAGTGTGATGTGCCCTGCTGTTGCAGAAAAATGTGATTAACTGCATCCACTTACAAACTTTTTGATGAACTTAGCCTGTTATTGGAAGCAGCTAGTGCCACATTGAATTCGACACAAGTTTACCAAAAAATGTATAGCAGATTATGTATTTCGTCTATTCGTCAACTGTTTGAAAGCAAAGCTGTGACTCGTAATGGATGCATTTAATAACATTTTACACCCCTAAAAAAAGAGTGGGTGTGAAAGTAGCAGGGTTGCTCTGGTTAGGAGCATTTCAGTTGTCAGAGTCCCCGCTTGTGTATCACAGGAATGCACACGCTCTCTCATAAACCCAGCAAGCTTTGCTCCGAGCCAATTCATCAAATGAGCACACAGGAGCGCAACATAAAAAGGAATTAAAGCAGGAACAAAGCGCCCAGAGGAAACAAAACACATCCAGTCATGTGACACTTTGTAAATTGCCAGCTGTGACGTTTTGGCAGGATTTAAAGCTGTGAATGCCCTGCAGTTATTAGCAAACCAGCTATTTCACCTGTGCCAGCACAGCAAAAATGGTTTGGTTTCATTTGTTTTCAACTTTAATCTGTAAAATTCAGGAGCCAAACACTAAATGAGTGTTTTCTAATAAGACAAGCCTTTTTCATTTATTGATAAAGTATAAATATAGTTCAGAAACCACTTTATATGGTTGGTAATGCAAATATCTAATCAGCCAATTGCATGATAGCAACTCGATCAATTTAGCCACATAGGCAACCTGATGAACTTTAAAATGAATAAAGGTGATTTCAGTGACTTTGAATGGTTGTTGGTGGCAGTTAGGCTGGTGTCGTCAGTGTTTCACAAACTGTCTGTAGTTTTCAAAGAGCCAAAGTTTATTTGTTAACCAATAACTTTTATCATAGTTTTCATCAGTGACACTTTTTTCTGATGAAAACAAGAAGATAAGTAAATAAAAACTAATGCACGTACAAAAACTACGATCAATTGTACTGATACTTTGGACAATGAATTAAAAAAAGATGAAAATGTTCTGGTGACACAAGATCCAATCAGAACTAAATATCTTGTGGGAAGTGATCAATTCAGAATTAATCTACAGAGGCAGTAAGGCTTGACATGCACAACATGATCTGCCCCCCTGCAAATAGGTTGAAGCTCCCTCCTTGTTTTTTTTATAAACACTCAACAAAATGTTAATAAAGAAAGAAGAGATAAGCAGACATATGGACACATTTCACGTTTGATGTCAAGTTAAAGAAGATGCTTTGTAAACCATGTGAAGCAACTCTCACCAATACAGAACTTTATGTTTTAGTCAACTGAGGCAACTTTGGATTTAATCTCATGATATTTAGTCGACTAAAACTACAAGACTTTAGACGTTAGTCAAACTTAACACTGGCCTGACAATGTTTTTGACACAAGAGGTCAAAGGAGAATAACCAGACTGCTGAGAGGAAGACAACAGAAACTCAAACAACCACCGGTGACATGCAAGGTCTGGTAAGAGCATCTCTGAATGCACAACAAATCAAACAGATATGCTACAGCACCAGAAGATCACACCAGGTCCCACTTCTGTCCACTAACAACAGGAAACAGAGGTAAGAATTTGCACAGGCTCCTCAATACTGAACAAGAGAAGACTGGATAAATGTTGCCTGGTCTGATGAGGCTTTATAGAAGGGGCAGAGTTTGGTATAAACAACATGAAAGCATGCCTTGTATCAACCGCTCAGGCGGCTGGTAGTGCTGTAACACTTTGGGACCTTTAGTACAAGCTGAGAATCTTTTAAACACCACAGCCTACCTGAATATTGTTGGGCATGTCCATGCCTTCATGACCAGGGTGCCCATCTTCTGATAGCTGCTTCCAACAGGATAAAACACCATGCCACAAAGCTCAAATCACCTCAAACTGGTTTCTTGAACACGACAATGACTTCTCTGTACTCAGACAGCCTACATAGTCACCAGATTTCAGTCCAACAGAGCATGTGGTGGATTGGGATGTGGTGGAGGAGGAGATTTTCATCATGGATGAGAGATGTATGGCCAAAATATCTGCAGCAACTGTGTGACCCTGTCATGTCAATATGGACCAAAATCTCTGAGGAATGTTTTCTCCACCTTGTTGAATCTGTACCATGAAAAATTAAGCCCTAATGGATAGGATTTATATAGCGCTTTTCAAGGCACCCAAAGTGCTTTACAATACCACTATTCATTCACTCTCACATTCACACACTTGGTGGAGGCAGCTCCAGTTGTAGCCACAGCTGCCCTGGGGCAGACTGACAGAAGGCCTATTTACCTAGTAGTGTCTTGCCCAAGGACACAAACAGGACAGAGAGCCCGGGATCGAACCAGCAACCTTCCGGTTACAGATGCACTTCCCAACCCCCTGAGCCACAGTAGCCCTGAACGCAACAGGTTCTCCAAACAGGTACCAACAAGGTGTACCTAACAAAATGCTGGAAATATTTACAGCTTTAAGATCATATATTGTCTTTATCTAAGGCTTTCTGTTTCAAAGTCAGACATACAAACTCACAACAATGTTTTCTGTTTATGCTTTTATTATGCTTTTATGACACACAGCATGCTATCTCCATGATTAATATGATTAACACAGTATGCTGTTCTATAGGACAGAATAGGATAAGGATATATATTAAAACTTCTTCTTTGCTGCATCAGAAAACCTAACAAACTAAAAAGCAGGGATTTATTGATGCTTACACATACAAAAAACATCAAAAAAAACAAACAATGAAATAGCCTAGCGATGACAGCTAAATTCTAAATGACTGTTAATAACTCTGGTTACACTTTGTAAAAATGTTTCAGCACCTAGGTTTGAAATGCTGGTTGCTGTCCATGGTGCTGAACTTTTTTGCATACCTGTCCTTTTCACACATCAGCTCCAAACCAAAAAGGGAACAGTGCTTTGTAATCACTCAAACAATAAAAAAGATATTAGCATTTAGCATTCAGGGACAAAGAGAAGACAGCATTAATGGCTGACCTCATCGTACCCTCTGAAGATCCGCTGTGCATGTCAATTTTCTTCTCAGAGCTGAATACTTTTTCACTCTGTGGGCTCAGTGGACTCTCAGATGTTACCTCACTGTTGCAAAGGACTTTGTAGAAGGACAGAACAATATCAACATTCTGTATGCAGATGCTGCTAACGTTTTAGATTATTTTGGTCAAGTATCATTATATTTATGCAGTCCTCTATCCGTCTGTGTGTTGCACCTGTAGTGTTTACAAATACATCTTGCTAACCAAGCTTGCAAGTCTTAGATGAGAACTCAAAAACAGCCACTTTTGACACCAGAAAGTTACACAGCAGCAGCCAACACTGAGGCTCCAAAATGACAAAACCAATGGGTGAAGTCACTGGTGGCTATGTCCATCTTTTAGATACAGTCTACTATTTGCACCAGCACCTTCCTTCACTTTGTCCAAAGGCAGATAGTGACAAAGAGTGAAAAACGTCATACATCACCCCTTCAAATAGTCCTCTGTCTATTTGACTGCTGTAGTGTGCTGCTCCTTTAACTGATGAATAGCTGTTGAGACACTGAAAAAAAAGGCCGGCTGCAGAATCTGGACACTGACACTGCATGTAAAATGAACTCCCCTCTCAGTTTCTATCTATGGTGACTCATAATCTATTTTTTTTCTAAGTTATGGGATTACAAATGTGCACATTCCAATTTACTACCACTCATACTGACACCTGAGATCACTTGTTAACTCCTTATTACTACCTGTTGTCATTTCATCAGCCAATGAAGTACTCAACAAATGCCCGGTGAATAAAAAAAGTGACAAAACGATAAGTAATCTGAATAAACTTTCGCTTGTGTTCACTGAAGATATCTGACTACAGGGCATGCATCATTTAACTGCCCTCTCAACGCTGTGTGCAGGTTACATGGGCCAGCTTTCTGGTGCAATGTCAATATGCCGATAAAGTCAACAATGTCTGCTTCATTAGTGATGCCAGTGTCAATCTCTGCTCTGCTTTCAGCCACACAGAGGGGAATCTGCTGGAACAAAACAAACACAAAAAGCAAACTAATTAAGTTTGATAATTAAGTTTGCAAGACTGCCCTCTGTACTCTCTGAATTGGTAAATTCAACCAAATCTCCCTCTGACTTCAAATCTTTGCATCTTTGTGTGACAGACCCATCCCTGAAGGTGGACATGTTGCACGTGAGCACGAGGAGCGCTAACTCTCGGCTCACCTGAATGAAAAAAAAAAAAAAAGTTGGCGCACATACAGTATTAGGGGTCCTCCCCACACCCCCTACCCCTACCAAATATGCTCTGCTGTGCACAGTATCGCATTCAGACTTCGATCTCAGGAGAAGAGATGTGACTGAAATAGAAAACACACACGCACACACACACAGGCACGGGACTCTTTCCTATTCCACATCATGCACTGTATATCCACAGTGGAAGTCTAAATAAGGCCATGTGTTGTTTAATCATGCAGAGTACTGGAGCCTGAACGGGTCTGCATGCTGCATTAGACTTGATTTGTCTGCAGCATCTCTGCCACGCACGGCACGGCACGCTTTTCCTTTAATTTTATTTATTTTTTTGTCGGCACACACTGCCACCGTATACTCAGTATTTGTGCTAATAAGTTAGCACCCCCACCCTACCACCTCACCTCACCTCCCCACCCCACCCACACCCCCACCGTTCCCGTGGCGCTCTCACTTGCTGCACAACCACGATTGCGGAGAAACACCAGCGAGCGCTCGAACAGTGCAGTCTCGGGAGGGAATTCACACACGGGCTCGCGCTCGTGCGCGCACGCAAACACACACAAACAGAACACCCAATAAAGTCTTCTTCTGCCACCTCCACGCACGCACACGCACACACGCGCACAAAACAAACTCACCAGTTGGGTTCTTGTTTTTCTTGAGGCTCCTGCCACAAAGACACTGCAGCATATGCGATCCTTTGCTGAAAATGTTGTTCCAAATAAACCGCATGGATTTGGCTGAGACGGGGGGAGAGGAGGAGGAGGAGGAGGAAGGAGTGGAGGAAGAGGAGGTGGGGGACGAGAGGCGCTCCGGATGCGGCAGCCTAAAATTCACCCACCGCATGGGGGCTGATACGCCCCCCTGTTTGCATGCCAGCAGAGCCGGCCAGCTGTTGGGCTCAGTTCGGCGGTGCTTGGCCGCCCCGACCTGCACCATAGACAAGAATAAGAGCAGGAAGCCCGGCTCCTCGCCCGCTTTCTCGCCCGGTTCCCCCACGAGCTCGGAGACCACCAACCGCACGTATTCCGCGTCGACGTCGTCCCCGTGCGGCAGGAAGAGAGCAACCGCCGCGGCGCTTGTCTCCTCGGTCCCTGCCTCCGGCTGCCCTAGCTGCCGGTGGTCCTCAGCCGAGGAGCAGTCGCTGCTGCTGCCCGGCCGCCGCGGCGTGGAAAGCCCCCGAGCGCTCCTCTTCAAATGGCGTCGTCTGCCGCGCGGCGCGGGGAGAGGAGCGGCGGCGACGGACAGGCATGCGGCGGCGCTAGCGTGAAGTCGGCGGTACGCGGCAGCTGTCGGCTTCTGCACAAAAAACCATTGCATATTAGTGGGGATGGCAGGGGTCGATGTGTCCGTCCGACCGGGAGGGGTGCGGATACCGGGGGTCCGTCAGCAAGTCGGTGGCATCCCTGTACCCGCGCGGCGAGCGAGTAGGCTACTGCAGCAGGGGGGCTCCTTTCCAAACGCGCACACCAGCACGCTGCACACTCGCAAACACGCACGCACGCGCTAGATGCACAGTCCTTTTTTTTTCACCCAGCAGCTTCTCTGGTCTCTGGTCAAGTGAGAGCGCACACACGGCACTGGAACGGGCAGGTGAACCACTGCGGGGAATCTCTGCGCTACCCCGCTCCGTCTTTTTCCTTCTTTTTAAAAAAGTCCTCATAAATATTTGATCCACGTTTTGGCCTTCACTTCTCAATAATCCATAAGCTCCAATGCGCCAAGACACTGGTGCTGTCTGTCTCCCCTTCCTATCCTCTCCTCCACCTCCTACTCTTCACCTTCCTGATAAACAGGAGCTGCTGGACTGTGGTTCTGCTTGCCGTGTCTGTGACTACTGAAAGTAAACGAAGAAGAAGACCGGAGTCTGGCTCCTGGTCCTCACGCGCTTCTTTCGGCGCTTCAAAGTCTTTCTGCGCTCGAGGCAACCAGCGGCCGGCGGGGCGCGAGGAGGTGCACTGACTAACGATGCCAAATCAGTTGCAAAGCCGAACCCAATTAAGCAAAACATCTTTTCCGCTTGGTAATTCCAAAATAAAAGCCCCTCCCCCTTTCATCATTTTTGAGTTCGTGTGAGGAAACTGTCGATTCAGAATTAGGATTTCACATAGGCTACAGCAACAGTTTGTCTTGAAACAACAACTGTATTATTTTTTTCTTAATGTGGCATCAATAATCCTTCATAGGAATGAAATGAATACTATCAGAAAAGAAGAAATAAATAAAACAGGAAATTTGTTTAAAGATTTTTAAATAAGCCTATTCCGTTAATAAAGTTAAAAAAAAAAGTTGTTTTAGTAAAATTTACCTTAAACAAAGTAGTATAAGCTATAGCACAATTCCCAGAAAACACAAATAAAATAACTAAGAAATAACAAATCAATCCTCTTTATAATTCAAGTATTTTGGTGTTTTTCCTTCGACTTTTGTTCTGAAGGGAGAAGTCACCTCCGGTTTCTTCGTGCAGTTTGATGCGGGCGTACTGGCAGAAGCAGCATCCAGTAAGTGTAGACACGTGGTTTCCACACCGTCAGTCTCCGATTGTCTCAAACACAGAACCGCAATCAGCAACATTTTGGAGGCAGGGGTGACACGAGGTCACTGATTGGTGGAAACCACCGCCTGCCTTTGTCTGTCTGCTGTTTATTTGTACCCAGTAATGGCTGCGCTAAACTCACATATCCGACTGTTTAATATCGCCTTCACTGCTGCCAGATGCAGCCACCTGTTGATTGAGTCGTTTAAAAACAGTGGGCCGGCGTTTAGCTCATATATAACCTGCTGTCTATAGGAAACGTAGACTACGATTGCTCTTGTGTGGTTCGCTCGTTCAGTTCTCCAGAACCTCCAGATATGTGGACCTGTAGAATACCGGCTAAAAATGGTGCAGTGATTTTGTATTCAGAGAGAGAGAGAGCTGGCACTGTCCAGAGTGCTGAATCCGCATTCGCCTGTCAAACTCACACAGGCCAGGGAAACTGGTCGTTATAACGCTTCGTTATCCTGCTGTGTCAGTGACTAAAATGTCCATGTAATTCATAAAACACTGACTATGTCTACATTTTGCTGAGAGAAATCATTTAAAATGAAAAGAACTATAAGAGTCAGTGCACATATTAGTGTTTGGAGTTTTCTTGGGAGGCTTTTAAAACACACCATCCATTCTCTGGATAGCTTTGTGGCTCATTTGCCTTCGAATGGGTCAATTTAAAAGCCTTAAACAGCACTTTTACTGAGGGGTGGGGAACTTTTATGCAATGCTTTTAATGTTTGCGATGCAATTAAATCCGCCTTTCGGAGCTGACAGGAAAGAAGGTGTTAGATTGGTAACTTGAGAAGAAGTCATACTTTAGAAAAGAAATAGAAGCATTGTAGGTGAAGATATGAAGTCTAGCATATGTATGAAGTCATGAGTAAAATAAATCCTCCATTGCTGACCCGTCTGCACCACTGCTTCAAACGTACTGAACAGTCTAAAGTTGTCAAATATTGCAGTCTTTGCCCTTTAAAACCTTACTATAGATTGTGGTCTGTTGTTTTGGTAACCGATACTATCCAGATTCGTTTTGGGACATCCACAATTGATCACTGGAGATAGTCTGAGATCAGTCCACATCAGTGTCTTTTAAATCTCTTTAAAACATTCTCATTGGAAAGGTTTTATCTATTGGATCCTGTATGATGAATGGAGATACCTTATCCCCATAGGCCAGTCGTTCACATTTTCTGCTGCCGGGCGGTGGCCTCAGCTGACCCCACATGGCTTCAGACAGACTGCACAGGAGGGAAAAGAGAGCGGACATCCAGATGAAGCTGTTCTGGAAGCATGGAAGCGTGTTTATGATTAGCAATGCTCAGTTGATTTCCCTGGAATGGATTTTTTTCTTCAATGTCCCTGCCTGGACACGCAGAGCTTGGATTTATGAGGCTATGCTACCCCAAGAAAGTTCATCCAGACTTTCGGCTTGTTTTGCCTTCTTTCCCTTCAATGAGTTGAATCTGTGAGCCTCATGGATCAAACCCTGATTTTTTTTACATCCCCAACACAACTTGGGCTGTTTTTATTAATAATAGATATCGTCCATTTGGACCAATAGCTTGTTCTTGAAGGAGTTCACTGACTTTTAAATCCTACACCATTAAGCTGTCCAGATTGGTTATTACAGTATTATTATTATAGCATACAAGTATTATCTAACACTATTGATGATACTGTTACTCCTGCTCCAGCTACTGTCCCAGCTTTTTTTTTTTCAAATGACTGAAAACTTTTTTGCTTTCTTTGTAGAAAAAAACAGAAACAAAGCAAAAATCCTCAGCAAATTGAGAATAAATATTTCTCCATCGTTTTCTGTGGCTACTTCTGAGTACGGGTGCTCTGCAAGGTTCGGTTTTGGGGCTTTTACTCTTTCTCAGCGCATTTTGAATTTTAAACACTTTTAAGGATATTTATTATTAGTTATGTTTTTTAAGCCCCAAGATGTTTCTCGGTTACAGATCTTACAGAGGTGTTTATACTTGATCAAAGGTTGGATGACTGACAATTTTCTCCAACGTAATATACATTAAAATGCCCATTTTTAATAAAAAACCACATTATGTATTATAAGAATAAGTATTTTTGTGTTCTGATTTTGGATTTTTCTCTTTTTTCTGTGAATTGTTTTACAACTGTTGTTAACAAGAACCTGCTTCATCATAACATATAATCAAAAGAATATAATAACTATAACTATACGTTTGCTCTTTCTATTTTATATTGAAAGTTTGCAAATGTAGACTTCATTGAAAGTACTGCAGTGGGACATGTTGCCCCAGCTGCAAATGATCATTATCTACCTTGCACATCTACATGTCATCAGAAAAATACTACCGGTCATTTTTCCACAATGAGTGTATCAAATATAAATAATTTAATATTTAGCGTGAAAAGAAGAATGCCATCTGCAGTCATTTATATTTTGCAGTTTGGCTATTTGACATATTGGTGCTGAATGCACCAAAATAACTCAGCTGGGAGAGCATCAGACTGAAGATCTGAAGGTCCCTGGTTCAATCTTGGGTTTCAGCATTTTGGTAGTTTTCTGTGGAGCCCAAAAAAAAATCCTGGTTGTTGTTTTTAGATATTTTACCAGAAGAAGTCTCACTGGAGTCACCACAATGGATCATCTTCCTCCACCTAACCACCTTAACCCCATTTTCCTCTGTCCCACCAGTCCTCTGCATGTCCTCCTTCACTACATTCATGAATCATCTGCTCCTCCTGCCTGGCTTCAACTCAGTGCCTCCAAACTCCAGCCACTTCTCCTCCTCTCCTTTCTTCAGCCAACAGTATGGCTTCCACACAGTTCCCCAAGCAGAACAGGAGAAGCTTGGTTGGTGGAAGGTGGGTTGCAAAGCAGCTTGCAGATACCCAAGAACTCTGGGTAGTATAAAACAGTTTGAACACCATGCCCTATATGAGATTTTCACACTGAATGTGTGTCATGATAGGAGACTGGAGGCAGAATATTGCACTCACTGTGAAAAAGTTAACTAGATCAGGGCAGCAACAATGGACAACTCGAGAAAATGAAGGCAAAGGACTAGACTTGATTGCTCAACAAGAAACAACTGGGAGCGGAGCACAGATAAAAACAATCACTGGTGGAGACAGAATGGGGGGACAATTACAGTTACAAAGGAAAGGGGGAAGCAAAACTAGAACAACTCTCAAAGTAAAAGAAAAAACATAATGGAGACAAGACTCCATCTAATACTAAATCAGGGGCTAACAGATGCATGAGACAGCGGGAGGGAGGTAAAGGGAACCAATAAGGGAACTAACCAGAACTAAAAATAAAAATACAAGAACCAAGGAACAAATCGAAAACAAAAGAGAAAATATGAAATAAGAATCCCAAACAATACTCAGTAAAATCCAGGACCGCAACATTGTGCAGTTGCACCATCAACTGACGTTGGCTGGCACTGAGATCAGCCGATCTGTCAGGGCTGTCCAGGCTTGACTTTGGTACTTGCTTGAATTAATGCTGTGCTGGATTTAAGCTATTACTACTGTGAGTAAAAGAAAACATAATTAGAATATAGTGCGCTTAAATTTGCTTAGATGAGGGGGTCCAGCTGTAGATTGGTGAATGTCTGTGTATTTTAGTTTGGTTTAGCTATAGGCCTGAACTTGTCATAACTTAGAAGTAGGTTTGCAGGAGACTCTCCACATGCTTAGCTGTAAAAGTAAGACAACAAGAGGCCAATGGCCCAGTGGATGCAGAGTGGGGGTCTCAGTGCTTGTAATATGTTTTGTATGTTTTGTAGAGGAATTTGGTGTAGCTTGGGTGAGGGGAGATGGACTTTTATGACAGGCAGGAAGTCACATATACAGAGACACACACTCACTCACGTGCACACACATACACACAGGTGCGCGCACACACAGGTACTCACGTGCTCGCACATACATACACAAACACAGGGTTTACAACACACCATGTGGGTTTTACGATGGGGTCGCTTCTATAAAACTGGTTGTAACAAACAAAGAAGTGAAGATCTGCAGAGGGACACCGGCCTTGCACATCTCCCCTTCTAGAAGGTGCAACCTTGCAAAGGCGTAACTGAAGATAAATAAGGGTTTTGTGAAATGACTACTGAGTCCGGTGCCGTCTCTGGATGCCCAAGGAATAAAATAGAACCGGGGTGAAACTGCTTTACGTAACACTACACATGGGAGTTAGTCCTTTCACTGCACTATAGCAGTCAAGCAGCTTGGTGTACGTTTGAGCAAGAAGACATCTGTATTTTTATTTTAATTGTCAGGCACATGCTGAGAAGAGAGAAATTCTGTGCTGGCACAGATAAGCAATTACACCCAAACACTGAAGTTTCTGGAACAAATCTCATTCTCTACTGCAATGCAGTGTTGGCAAATGAGTCCAGTATAATGGTCC